GGGTACAGGATCCCCCAAAGAACGCGCGTAAGCTCAATACCCTTTGAGTGACGAGTTCGGCGCCGTTTCTGGGGCCATGATCGAGCCACCTGGTATCCACCCCCACCGGCCCGACACTCGAGCCCGGAGCCGGCCCCAGTCCGTCGCGGCCGAGGGTAACAGCCCTTTTTCGATACGCGTGGGACTGCTCGAGACTAGTCGGCGATTTCAAAGAACAGACATTGGTTCGGCCTTATTTTTTTTTATCTTGAGTGTTCCCTGTCCGCGGGCCGCTTACGTCCTCCGCCTGATGCTAAACGTCTAAAGTGGGTGATCGTCGCCACATTATCAGACTGGCATGCTCGGAAAACCCGGTTAAGTGGTGCTTTTCAGCCTCAACCCCCTTACATTGTGTATGATCGATCAATCGTCAAAATACACTCACCTGAAGACCTACAAAGGTTATGGATCAAGGGGGCAAAGAAAGCGCCGGAAACAAGTGAGATTTGCAGATTAGAAGCTCTCTAATTCCTTGTCCAAGGAGCGTCCCCTCCCCATCTACGGAGGCGTCCCACGTGGGTTTAACCAAGTTCAACCCTCTCAACCCCTGGTAAAAGGCTCCTCAAGGCCTGCAGGCGACATGGAGATGAATGGAGGCAGTGCACTGCCGCGTTCACTTCATTTCGGACAATTGGTCACTTCTGCACCTTGGCTCTCCCCCAATTCTCACTAACAGTGTGCCAAGGATCATGAACGCGAAGCCGCGAGACTCCTAGAGTGAGAAGGACTTTGCACAGATTTTCCCCGGCGAGCCGTCCGTTCGGTTGGTGAGGGTGGGAAATGGGACCACTCAGACCAGGAATCGAAACGAAGTGCGATCCTTCGACCACCAATCCCCCCTCCCCTCCCCTTTCGCTCGGCACGACTTGCCCTGGCTCGTTTCATTCGGACTACAAACCCATGCTGTCAAGATCTTTGCCGTGTATGCTTCTTTAGCGGATCCAAAAGTCGGAACGAATTTCTATTCCCTCTGGGCATTATTCGGGCGCCTGTCCGTTTCCATCTTAGCACACACGGCGGCCTTTTTTAAACAATAATCTTACCATGCCACCGGCCCAGGTCCATTGGCCCTGCAGAGCTTGCGTGTCGCATGCCGGGGGTTCCGCCCGGAATGTGACTTCTACGCTTGTGCTTCCGGAGTGAGTGAGCACAGTAAACGATTAGTGCTCACCCAAATAGCGAAAGCATCTCAGGTACGGAGTATTCAGGGGGCAAATCGTGATGGATTTTGGCCGAGCTGGGACAGTGGGAGGTTGCCTTGCAGGCTACTAAAATCAAAGTACAGCTGTAGAGCGAAGCCTGTGAACGTCCACAGTCATATCTTGGGATTTGTTTGCACTCTCTGGGAGGTATGCCCTCTCCACAAAAATGTCTTAAAAGAGGATACGCGCGGCAATGTGCCGTTGCAACATGAACGGTACCTCGAAGGGATCAATTGGCTTGACACTGTAGTTCTTTGAGTCGTCGAGCAGTCGCTGGAGAAACCACTGGATGGACTTAACTGTCGTCTCTGGACTGTGACAGCAATGATACAGGGAAGCGAAAACGGTGATTGAAAGATTATCAACAACTCTCCTGGACTATTGCATTTAGCTAAACGAATTTTTCTCGGTCGTACACGTTGCAAAGTTAATTTGATGCATTCAATAATGCTGATTATATTCACTGTCCATGAGCCGGTGAACCATCAACGTGCTGTACCTAGTACTCACGTTACGAATCTCACGACAAACTAATGGTCAATCATCCCACCGACGGCATTAAAAGGACTACGATGAAGAAGCCGTTTTATATAATAGAAATATGATACCATGCATATTAAATCCAATGACAGAATGCAATGCTTTCCTCTGTTATGCCCTAGGAGAGGGGATACAAATGCGAATTAGCGGTCGACGGCCCCTACTTGAAAGTTATGAACATCACTAAAGGTAAGAGCCGAACTTCACTCGGGATTCCTCTCGATCTAGGAAGGTTTCATCAGATTCGTTTTGTTGATCCAAATTTAGAGAGCGTGCGGGCGGTCTTACTTGTAGCAGGAATTGGCCATAAATCCGCAAAGTCGACGGACTCTCCTTGCAATCTGCAGCGGTGGTTCGCAGCAACGGTAGGCTTCTACTAAAAACTTCCGTGGCTACACAAGGCAGCTTCAGGTTGCGAAGACACATGGAGCTCTGCTGCAAGTCTTTCCGAATCCTGCTTGGCGTCAACATAACATTCGCGTGAATTATGATGCCTGTAGCTTTTGTAGCTTCATTGCTCTGTGAACATTTTCCTATTCAGATGTAGCCTCCATGAGGCCTTCAACACGTGAAGCCATAAACCCACCATAATGGCGGGCTTCATTGTTTTCAAGTCTAAGGCGATCAATTGACGTTTGCCAGAGCCAGTTTGGTGCTTCATGTTGTTCATAAATGTCGTCTCGCTTTCGCTCCATCAAAGTTACAGACTACGAGCAGACAGCCGCCATCGCAATTGAGCATTCCGTGACCTTGTCAAAAGACTTGATACACTAGCCAGCGCCTCCGCCCTCACGAGACGGGCGTGATTCTACAATGTCACGAATGGCGTAGAGAGGCGTGCCTCCAGGATACATGAGAAGCTACCTCGAGATACATCAACATTATCTTCCAGAATTGTGAGAGGCATAGTGGAGTATAGGCACGTCAAAAGACGAAGCTTTGGATAAACTCATCCATCAAGGGGTGATGAAACTGCAAATCAACACTTGGCATCCCAAAATCGCTGGTCAACGCAACCGACGGGTATCACGGCCACGTCCTCGGAGGTTCTAACTAGCGGATGGCTAGCAGCACTCAGCACTTCCATCACCTACTAGCCATTGAGCATGGCTATCAGGAGGCGGCGGGCGGGGCAACCTGACAAGAAACATCACTAACCTCCTGAATTGTTTCCCATTGAACCGCTGCCACGCTGCAAGGCAAAAGTCATTTTCCTTCCAGGCTCTTGGCCTTGGCCCTGCTTGGAGAGGCCCAATGGTGAGGAAACGGACACGCAGCCAAGCGGACGAGAATAGCACACTGGGAGAACCAGTGAGGTTGAATCCACCGTACTACCTCACGTCCGCCCTCCCCCCCAGTCAGAAAGCAACTTTTCGCGACACGCTATCGCTCGCCAAGACTCCTCTATTCTCCTAATCCTTCCAATCTCCTGTACTGTTTGGCGGTCCGGGCCCGCCAAGATAACCCAAATTCCGTCCTGAAGCAAGTTTACCCATGGCTGCTGTCGCTCATTCTCCACCGAACCAAAGCTAGATTCGTCAAAGCTTGCCTCGTTGGTGTTTTAAGTATGTGCCTGTCAAGGACCCTGCTTTTTCGCGGACGGTGGGTAAATCGGCAGGGGGTGGAAGAGAGGCTCGATACTGGTATTGAACCCGTCAAGTTCTACCAAAAGGCGACCAACATCGGCAAGTGACCGATTGAGTGTGCCGTTCTGACTGTCTTCCGCCCCAGAGATCAGAAGGGGCATGTGCGTTCTGTTCCCGGGAGGAAACATTTGGCGAAGGGCTTCGTCTCAGGAGGCGGTTCTAGACGATGGAGGACGGAGGATGACAGTGGACATACATCAGATCCACGGCGGCTAGCGCACCTTGCTCGGAATGCGACCGTACAGGCACCAGACCCGAGCTTTTTTTTCTTGCTCTTTCGTCTCTACACTACTGCCGTGCGTCGGCACCCCTGGGCAGTGGTCGGCTTTACTTGCGCATTCTGAGACTTGGCTTCTTTTTGATGTGACTATGACCCTCAAGAGATCGAATATGCGTGAGGGATTTCGGCGGGGGTGGCATCCAGTCTTTTTTGGAGAAGGCGAATACTTCTCCAAGGTGATGTTAGACGCGCATTCGGAATCCCAAACGAGGCGTTGACGAGTTGAGCGATGGTAGGTATGAATATCTCCCATTGCAACTCATTCAGAGCCCTGCTCTCACCTTGACCCCCGGCTTCGAGCCATACGAATACTGAGCTCGTTTTGCTTGGCTCGCATTTGATCCATAATAGCTTATTGAGGGGCCCCTTCCCATGTCCGGCAAGCCTTTCCTCTGTGTCTTCCCCTCGAACCCCAGCCCTTGGCAACGTCATCCATTTCACCCAATGGCACGCAAAGGATCTCCAAAGACCTGTTCAATGTTAGACTTAAGTCCGGAAAACTTGCCGTAGAATCTGATGACTTGTGCAACGGACATAAGAGTTGGTGGGCTTAAAAGAATGCCGACTACCGTTATGATCAACACGGTGACTTCCAGAGGGGCGTGAACCAGCCTCTATGGTTTTCGTATAGCCTTCACGCCGTTCTGATCGCGGTGCAGTGCGGTGCCCCAACGCCGATGCCAAAGTAAGTTTACATTTAGCGCCAACAGCACGGCCGCGCTGAGCGCTCACATTCGTAGATAACCACCACCAGCCAGGCGCAGTTGAAGATTTCCGAGAAATGATACAAGCTACAACATGCACTGACATGACGGCGCTTCTACTGCCCAAGTGGACCGACCTGACTTGGGGGTGAGGTAGATTTCCAAAGTCTCACTCTCAGTAGGTCAAGCAGCAACTTGAACCCACCTATGACCCCCTACTTACGCGTCCGTCAGGCTAAGCTTCAGAGTCCATCCCAAGTTTATTCCCCAGCCCAGCGGCTCTCTGTGCCGAATGTGAGCATCCTGTCCGAAAGAGATCCAAACTGGCCTTTTGGTGCCCCAGCGCGCGCACACCCTCTTTCTTCCACCCCACGAGTCATAATGTGAACCTATCGCAAGTCCGTCTGTAAGACAACTATGGGGGTAAAGCGAAAGAAGGCGGCGGGCTGAACGCAACCATCATGGCAAAAGGTTGAATAGCGCTTCTGTCAGATCAGATCAATCCCCCTTCTTGACCTTACCATAGCCCACAGAGGCCGGCCTTGATCACTATTCAGCAATGATGCTCATTCCTTACCTTACGCGTCAACTACCACCGACCCCCGCCAAGCGGCACTGGGTATCCGTCGGTATGCGTAAAATTAAGGTAGCTCAGGTAGCTCAGGTAGGGGGTCGCAAGCTGCTGCGCCTCAATGAGCGACAAGCAAGCGGGATTTGGTCCCGTCCCGCGTCCCGGGGCTGGGAAACGCTGACGTTACGGACACATCCGTGAGAATCGAGCAAACAACTGAAACGGCATCAACAAGATGGCAAGAAGATGGGGACGCGGATGTCGTCCATGACTGGCGTACATCGCAGGTGAAAGAGGAAATCCTACGAATGCAAGTGGCTCATCATCTTGTCAATAGGACAGAATGCCAAGATAATCTTCTCCCTCTCTCTCTCACCTGTAACGAAGCAAACCCACCCCCCATACAAACCGACGCTCCCCGTAAGTGGTAAACGCTTCCCGTTCCAACTTACCAACGTACCCATGAACGGCAAGCTTTTTTTTGTCAGCACCCACCACGTCCGTTCCTCAACCTCAGTCAGCATGACCATTCCCATGAATTCCATCAGAGGGTCGTCTCATGCATGAAGTGGAGAAATCTGTCCAGATCTTGGCTTTTCTGTCCCAAGAGTCAAGCTTGTCCCCGGTGTCATACGTTCGCGCGCGCGCGAGAGAGAAAAACCGACGGTGGAGGTTCGTGGTATGCTGGTTTTGACTGACAGCCTGGGCATGACGAGCATCCTGCCCGTTTCGAAAACATGACGAACAAGCAAAATCCATCCATCCACCCAGTTACGGGAGATCTCACTGTTTAATTCTGAAAGGGCGTAACATCCCACATTCCACTTCCCTTAAACCAATGCTATTGGACCCTTGTGATGGTGATCACTGATGCTTTCTCTCCCATATCCGGGTTTCCCTCCAATCTTCACCAAGATGACGAGGACATCACCAAGCCAAGACTTCACATCATACTTCAAAAATCCAACTCTAGATATCTGCCGGCCATCCTACGCTGCTCCCTAATTCCCAACCGTGTAATAACGTCTCCTTCGAACATCTTCTTTAAACGCTTTAAACGGAGCAATACCCACAAGATGGAGTTCTTCGGGCCAGAAGCCCAAAAAACCATCCCAAAACGGTCAATACAATCGAACCCCCGGACCCTGTATCTTACCAGCCTGCCTGCCGGCCGACCGACCGCAACGGCACCAAGAAACCGACGCAGAAGCATTGAACGCTGCCGGCGCACCCCACAAACGCCCCGAATGGTAAATTGACTGCTGCTTCTCTCCCCCATGGAGATACGGGTAGCCCTCTATTTCGTATCGAAGTTGTAATCCATCCATACTTAGGCTCCAAAACGATACCGTCTTCAGAGCAAAATTGCCCCCCTCTCTATAACGTCTCTCTCGTCCGACGTCTAACCAACGTCGACTAGATTCGACATCGAGACCAACAACCAACACAAGAGCCTCCTCCTCCCATCCATAACCCCCCTTCCAAGTCCCCATCAAAACCCCAGTCACACAAACCACGAACTGCTCCCCCCCTAGACACTATCCCACCTTTTCCCACCCACACCCTTGAACGAGGCCGTTTCATCTACGCGTCTATCGGCAGTGAACGTCGGTAGCCTCGTCACTCTAAATTCCCACAGACGTCTCTGGCACTCTGCCTCTGGCTCTCTCTCTCCCCTTCCCCACCAGGGTCATACCCAGGGCGGCCGCTTCGTTACTATTGTACTCGTACTGCTTTGCTCTCCCTCGGCCACCGAAGGCTCTCTCTCGTACAGGGCGCGCGCGCGCGCGCGCAACTTTTCCTTCCGTCCGTCTTGCTCGAACCATGACCCCTACTCCGTACACCACGCAACCACCCATCAACGTTGTCCGTCTCATGGATGATGGATCTCCCCCTCCCCCCTCCCCAACACCAACAACCCCCTGCCAACCGCCTGATGCTTAACGCGACTTTAACCTAAACTGACCACATACCAATTGGCAAATGGGAACTCGTACCTTTTTTTCTTTTGTCGGGGACATGATCTACTGCTGGCCATGCCTTCCAAGGGGCCTGCTTCGTCAAAGGTAGAGACAAGGCAAAAGAAGAAAGCTTGCAACTAAGTCTCCATCAACCAATACTCCGCTGTCAGTTCGCCTCAGAAAATGATCCCCGACTTTGGGGGAAGGACTCCATCCGCTTAGCCTCAGACTCGAAAGTCCACCACCTTACCGTCGTAAGATGCATCCATCTGTGTGCATCACTGTATAGAGCCACATGTTCGAAACCAGTCTGCAACGTAACACATCCTTCATCGAGAATTGACTCAAAGCCACAGGTGGGAAAGGGGATACACGGAAGTTAAGATGTTGGTAAAAATGTGCCAGTCTATTTCGCCCGGTGATGTACCGATGGCGCGGATGAGGCAATCTCGTAATGCTATATACTGTATAAAAGAAAAGTAACGACTGTTTCAGTGCAAAACCTCTCTGGTGGTGATGCCCTGGCCAAACCCGTTTTTACCGTGATGCAAACCCAAAAAACCCCCGTGATCCGATATCGTGATCTCACGTTTCCCGATTTGTTGAGACCGCCCAAAGTGGCTTGGTCCTGAAAGTGATTCCCAAACGCCGTGGCGATGCTGAAGTAAAGACAAAAAAAGACAAAACAAAATTCCCAGGCTAACATGGCAATGCAACCCTGATTACGTCTTCATGGACGTTCCTTCTCCTCTTGTTCCCGGTCTGGCACACTTTAGATGCAGAACTTGCGGTCCAGAGCCTGAAGCGCCTTAACGTCGTGGCTCACGTTGGCAGGGCGGTCGACCGGCGGGGGAAGACCGCCGAGGGCGCCTCCTGTTCGCGGGGAGCTGTTGGCGCTGTTCACACCGTTGGCACTGCTGGGCTCAGAGTTGGACGGAGTAGGGTGCAGCAAGAGAGCAGACAGGCTGGCCTTGTTGGGAAGGGGCGCCGCGCTGTTGCTATCGGAGTGCGAGCTTCTAGGAGGCGAGACAGACAACGTCCTGTTGGGAGGAGTATGTGTGATCGGGTGGCTGGTAGAAGGAGCGCTGGAGACGGCGTTGATTCCCGGCAGAGTGTTGGGGTTGCGAGGGCCGAGTCTAGGGTCGATCATCACAGCCTGTGCCGCTTGAGCTTGAAGGTGGGAGATGCGAGGGGACTCAGAAGCACGCGACTGTTGAATAGAAGCCAACCGAGGCGACTGGTGCTGCGGTTGTTGAATCTGCGCCAGGCGAGGAGACTGGTGTTGAGGAGCATAGGGAGCCAGAGGCTTCTGAGCCGTTGGCGGCGGGAGAGGTGCCCGGTCGTAGGGGGACAGGTGGTGGTGGGGAGGTGCGTGTGCGTAGTGCGGTTGTTGCGCGGGCGAGTGTGAGACTTGAGGAGGCGGCAGTTGATGTTGCGGCTGCTGTTGCGGCGGGTAGGGAGATGTTGTGTAGTGGCTGTAAGGAGGCGTGGCGACCGGCGAAGGAGGCCATGAGTAGCCCGGCTGCTGTGCGTACTGAGGAGGGTAGGCTTGCGGCGGCATGGGCTGTTGAGGGTGCTGCTGTGTCATGTAGGGAGTTTGCTGCAGCATAGGTCCTCTTGTGAGAGCGGGAGTAGGGTTGCTGTCGTGGAGGCTGGACTCGGGGTACATTCCCTTCATGGGAGTGATGTGTCTGAGCTGGGCATCGGTGCTTGGTTGCTGGAGCTCTGGTGATCCAGGGTGCGGTCTCGAGTAGTAGGAGATGAGGTGAAGGTGCTGGCCAGTGGAGGTGGTGATGCTGAAAGACTGCTTCATGAGGCCATCCGCCTTGTATCTGTAGCCCTCAGGCTCGCCGTCCTCCTGGTCCTCATCGCTGCCGCGGCCAGAGTCGGGAGTCTTGCCGGCACCCCGTCTGCCGCCGCCGAAGCCGCTGCCACGCTTGCCCTCCATCTCGCGGTAGGTAAGGAAGCTGCCAGAGACTCGGCTGGCGCTCCATGACTTTCCATCGGTCCACCTCCTCATGCCAGCTTCCCGCTCATCCCAAACAAATACTGAGCCGGATCGGATGGATTGGCGTTCCTTCTCTGATAGTCTGCGTTGGACGCGAGGCAAGAGGCCGAGTCTGCAAGCCTCGAAGAGCTTGATAGCGTCTGCGGGTGTCCGCACAAAGCCGTGATATGTCTCCATGGTGATGATGGATAGAGTGTGATGAAGGTTGAGTGGTGAAGGTAAAGTAAAAGTGTGAAGCTACCAAAAGGCCTCGATAGGTAGGATGGGGAGAACCTTTATATCAAGGTGAGAAGAAGGGAAGGCTGGTCCGAAAGTAACTCTCCGGTGGTCCTCCACTGCGGCCCCACTGAGTTCGTTTGGGGGTAGGGATAGTTTGAGTAGAAATCGGCACAAGTTGCCCTCGACAGAAAAAGATCCTTGGCCCGAGTTGCCCTATGGCAAAGACGGGTAATCCGCGGTCGAGAGAGAAGAGAGTTTGTTGGGTTAAGCCGATAGCTATGGTTAAAACCCCGTGTGACCAGACTGGTGGTGTCCGTCTGTCACGCCAAGAGATTGTTCAAGGCAAATCAGGGTGAGACGTCTCGTCGGAAAAGGCTGAAGGTCCAAGCTTTCTCTATGAAAGAGCGTTTGTTCTGTGAGAAGCGGACGCGTAGGTGGTGAGCAGCGGGTGCTGATACCGCTGACAAACGCTTCGAGAAAAGAGAAACGAATTGCGTAGGCTAGATGACGCAGAGCAAAGTGGGTTAGCTCTTTAGGTTCTAGGCAGGTGAGGGCGACGATGAGCTCCTCGACGATAGGATGAAGGTGTTTCGCAGGCGGTGATGGGTGATGACAGAAGCTTATTCACAACTCGACAGAGAGATAGGTTGAGGCGCATTGAGTCGCACGTCAAGCTTCGAAAGGGTGGAGATGGTGAAGGTGAACGGGATGTTGGAGTTGGTGAGAGCTGCTTTTGGCAGGCTTGCGAGACGTGCCAGGTATGGAGTTCAAAGGCGTCTGACTGGGCTGGAGCAGCACCTGTACCATATATATCCTGATACAACACGCGCAAGCCCACACTAGCAGTCGCACCCCCCGGCGAAGGCCAAGCTTTTGGCGACAGGGGAGTCATGGTAAGGGAGGGGGGCCAGGGCAAGCCAAGGGGGGGAGGGGTACGAATGCAAAAGGAGGGCGTGTGGGAGACGGAGGGGGTGGAAGAGGAAGAAGACGACGACGACGACGAAGAGGGGGGTGTCGACAAGAAGACAAGACCGGGCATGGGTTGAAAAGTGACTTTGGGACTTGGGAAGACTACGGATACGCTTCGAACCAAAGTGGAGGCGACCCGAGTGACCCAAAATTCCTTCTGGAATCACCCTGTGCGCGCACACACACACACACACACTCTCTCTCTCAGCGCCGTCACAGCCGATCCACTGAAGAAGCTGACGGGGACGGGGGGTACTGGCTTCCTCGACTAAAATTGCCTCTTGGACTATCCCTGAGCGGGCTCAGTAGAGAGGCCGAGATGACCGATGGCCGAGTCGTACTTGGAAGCCAACTGTGGGAAAAGAGGCGATGTGCATGAATGATGAGAGAGGTAGATAGATGGGCTGAATATTGCGTGCAGACTTGGGACGGCGATCAAGCTATTCGGAGGGTAATGGGCAGATGAGGAAAATACGCGTGAACGAGTTGAATAGTGTTCGGCCGGCGGCGGCCAGTAGTAGCAATAGGTGATGAGCAGCGATCGTTGAGCACCAGGAAGCTTCATCAGACAAGTGTGTGATCACCTCTTGACAGATGCCCTGTTTGGACGACCTGTGCTCAATGGTTGCACTGCAACTTCTTGATAGCGCCGGTGCATGAGAGTGATGTGCCGTCTAGCAGCCCCTGCAATACCGCGGCCCCCAAACTTCCTACATCAGGATAGACGTGAGGGTGACACTAGACACTCGAGGGGAGCAGAAGGGTGACGCAGATGCAGCAGGCGCCCATTCCAACCAAGTAGACAATGCACCTGATCGACACCGAAGCTTGACTACGACAAAAACATGGAGAGGGGCCGAGATGGAGACGAACGGGGCGTATACGACGGGGCAGAAGGATGGGTAGTGAGTATCGAAACAATGAAGTGCGTACGTACCTCTCTTTCTGTGTGTAGTGTATCCGTACAGAGTAGTGTTTTGTGACGGGGATGCCAAGGTTGCCTGCCGGTGAAAATGACAGACTTCTACGGATACTTCTTTTCTCGCTGGATGAGTTGATTTGTATCGGTATCAGCAACGCGAATGTGGGCACGCGGGTAGGTGGGTTCGTTAGAGTCAACAGTCGTGTGTCGGATCGTCGTCCAAAGTCAGCAACTGAGGCGTATGGGGAATCTTGACACTTGTTATAAGATTGAGACCCGCGGGAGATGAACGACAAGGCGAGAGTCGAGATTGGCTGCGGCGGCCCAGGAGCTGCCGATTGCGTTGACTTCTTTATGCTTGATCCAGTGCCGAAAGGGCGAGTCTGTCGGCCGGGCGTCCTCCTGGGACCTTGGGGTGGGAGCCTGGGAGGGGACCACACAGAGTCAACGGTGACCAGGGGTACCGCCGCAAGTCAAGGCCCCGGCGGATCGGGGACATAGGACAGAAAAGGTTGAGTTGCACAGCGCTACTTTTGGATTGCTTGCCGTCCTTTGGGATGGGGGGGGGGGGGCAGTGTCCGGGATGGGCTCTTGACGACGGTTTACGCGGACAAGCCGTTGGATGTTGCGGTAGGTGGTGACAAGCTTTGAGACGAGATGGCGTGTGTGGGTTCTGCTGTGTTGGCTGGAGCGTGACGGCAATGAGCAAGAGTCCGAACGACGGGAATACTTGTCTAGGCACAAGTACATAGAGTTAGGAAATCCCGAGAACCCCACCGATAATCAACTTAAGCAATGTGCTTGGTACAGTACGCTACGACGGATACTATGTACAGAGCACCCTTGGGCTTGCGAGCAACGGGGGTAAGGATGATGGATGACGACGCCAGTTGGGCGCAGTTTGAAGTGATTGGAGGGGGCACAGGATGATAATGGTAGTCTCCCGTACGGATATGTGGGCTGAGATGGATGGACATCGATTGACGGGGCGGAAAATTTAAGGTCAAGGAGAGACTTGGGTACGCCGTCAGAGACTCAAGATTATGCAGGCGGTTTCCCCATCAAAGGCGACGAGGCCGCGGAAGTCTACCACTCTACGGACACGCAGTACCTACCTTACTACACGGCCATGCCAGGCGTGCTGTGTCAAGACTCGCGAGGGCTTCGGGATCGGGATGTGGGAGAGTGGGTAAAGAGGGAACATCTGTCCAGTGTCCCAGCGAGTCTCAAGGTCTCAAGCCCCAACTTTTTCCCACGCCGCCAGGTCTCCCGAAAAAGAGCTTGTTCTGGCCCAGAGCTAAAGAGCCGTCAAACAAGCGTGGCGACGGGTTCAGGGGAGAGCCACACGATGGGGAGAGAGCTGCGTACGTCTTCGGGAAGCGGGAGGTGCTCGGAGGAGGATACCTATGCGTACAAACGGGAGTAAAGAATGAGGGGCCCAAGGCAATGGTGAGGATGAACTACCACGCAGTCTTTCTCCGTACGCATTTGTTGCTCCATCCGATAGGGGAAATAAGGGAATAAAGCATGGTGTAGCGTGATGGCTTAACTTACTTTGGATAGTATCGATGGTCCTCCCACGTACCAGCCGGACGGTCTGTTCTTTTTTTGGGATCTAGGCGCTGGGGATAATGGAGACTGTGCTGAACAGGAACGCGGCGTAGGTTGGTGAGGCTGATGATGACGACGAGTCGGCCGGCAGCGTACGTATGTCTCTGGAGGATGTTAATTAACTGTAGGCAAGTCTCCTCCCTTCCCTCGGTGGGTGATACCCCTTCTAGTTGAAGCCTCGATGCCTCGGTCGATAGAGAAAGGGGCGTATGGAGTACTCTCTGGAGAGCAGAATGAATGGTTCGTCAGGCTAAGCTTCTCAAATTGATGCAAGCTTCAGCTATCTCTGATCGGTCGGTGGCCGCAGCCGTAGCAGCCGTAGCCGCGGAGCCGGATGCTCTGTACTTGTGCGGGTATCCGGCAGAGGTGACTGATGGAGCGAGACTCTCAGAGTCAGGTTGATGGCTGATGCTGTGGTGAGGAGAAGGCGCACAATCGGGGCTCCTAACCGGGAATAAGCTCAAATCGATAGGCTCTCTCTTAATTTTGGAGTTGGCTCGGGCGGAATGATTGTCGTCAGGGTCTGGGTCTGGCGTGCCGACTGATCCAGATGGCGCGTTTGCTGTGCCTCAGCCCCCAACCACCACCACAAGTGAGTGCTGTCGGTGCCGAAAAGGCAGCAGGTCGAGCTGGTTTTCACTCCAACTCGGAGCTCGGATTCCCTCCACAATGGTGGCGCTCCCCCGTGCGAGTCTCTCAGGCTCCTTGACGTGAGAATGTTTCTCCCGGCAGCTGACCTTTTAAGACGTAACGGAGTGCTCCGTCTGTGATGGGGGGCCGATTTCGCGGTGAAATAAGCCAGACCTCTCCGGACGGCTTATCGCTGGGTTCTGCAAGATGGCAAAATCGGTGTGGCGCCGAGTCCCTCCATGTGATGAATCGAGTTACAGCGAGGTAGGTATCCGTAGGTGGGTTAGTCTGTTCACAACACTGGTGAGGATGGGGAAAAACCGGGGTTATTTGCTGGACGGCGGATGAAGACGACAATGAAGGATGACAAGGCCGCGAATAATAATTTAAAGCTGGACCAAACACATGCGTCGGCAAAAGAAGTAAATGAAGGCGATAAGATGGATGTGACGGCGAGCGGGAGGGTGTGGGCGTTGCATCCGTCAAAGATGGATGTGACGGCCGGTGCATGGGCGATTTGATTTCGCAGTCAGATCGGCCGTCCACCCATGATTCTTTCTTCGGTATCTCTCTGTGTGAGAGGTGACGGTCGTCAAAACTGCCTTTCTATCCGTGTGTTGCTGTTCAGGAGCAGAGAGTCAAGACTGCTTCGGAAAGTCTCGAAGCGTCGTGACCACGGTGAGGAACACGCAAAGGCCCGCGACGATTGCCGGTGTACCATAACTTGGGACGGGATCGAGAGCGATGCGATGGGGACGATGGGGACGATTGGGAGACTGGAGACTGGAGTCTGCAAGATGGGATCCAATGTCTGTGTCGTGGAATTGCATGCCGGTCAAGGTTCAGGTCGGCCGGGATGGGACGGGGGAGACTGGAGATTTGCGGGAGAAACCTTGCTGGAAGAGGTGGAAGGGACGGCACGGCACTATTCTTTCCCTTTTCCTCTTTTTGACCATTATGTTCCTTTACCTTCTTCCTTCCTAATGGCAATACCTAAGGTACTTGCTTAATCAAGATGGAAGGAGGAGGAAGGTCTCTGTCGTTGTGGACGGGAAGGAGCTCTCACGACATGTGGGTGCATTTGGCAGGCACGGCAGACACAGGTATGGAAGGCAGGCGCAGGCACCAATTGGTGTGTGGAAAGTGGGTTGCAGACTCAGGGTGGAAGGTGCAGGCTGACGAGAAGGTATCGTGGGTACGTACCGCCGACCTTCCTTCCCTCCCTTCTCGAAAAGAATTCAAGCTTATTTCAACAGTCGCTGCACCAAGCTTTTTCGAAGTGGAGGCCAATGTGTCCGAAAAGATACGTACACAGAGTGAACCACTCACCGTCATCCCTTGTTCTGTGGGTGGGAATGTCCGGCCGAGTCAGGGGCGTGGGGATAGGCCGCCTCAATGGGGGTGCAGACAGACAGCACTCAGAAGTACGTACACAGATAGTTGACCATCAGCAAGAGGAATACTGATACGAAAAGGGTAAAACACGACAATGTTGCAACATCAAATAGAATAGAGCATCAAGGCCAAGGCTGAGCAATGGGCAGACGCAGAAACGCAAGAAAAGGAACGATTACGATGCGCCGCCGAGGCTCAATTCTCCACCATAATGGCATTCCTCCTCAGCAGGGCCCATTATCCATCACATCCACTCAGCACACACAAGATAAAGTCACTTTTGGGTGCAGACCACAGCCTAAAGGTACCTACAATAACTCCACACCCTCCTTTCGAACAGCGCCCTTTTCCAAGGCTGCCAAGACAAGACAAGCCCGCAGCCACCGCCGGCCCCACTAGAGAAGGTATACTGCGTAGCAAGTATCGCTGCGCTGACCTTTCAGAGCGGTGGTCCGCGTAGGTGGATTACTGTTGTAT